GAGCAGTGAGATGACATGGCCAAAGTCGTACAGCGAGTTCTGGGAAGAGCAGGTAACCCGTGGTCTTGTTCTCCACCACGTGACTCCCACTCGGGTCTGATGGGGTGTTGCCTCATGTCCTACCAAGAGAGAATTGGCTCCTGCTTCTCAGTCCCATGCACTAAGCAAAGGAAAGAAAAATATCTATAGCCCTTTAATTATGAAATAACTGTCTGTCAATCCAAGAAACTTGGGCCAAGTTCTCTGGTCACCAATCAACTTAGATTGTGGAATGTTGCCCCTTAGCGGTTTCTGCCCATGGAATTTAAGCACCCTTGTTAGACTTAAATTTGGGCAAGATTTTCAAGTGACTAGTGATTTTGGATGCCTCTGTTTTTTGGGGTGCCCCATTAGAGACTGCTTACATGGGCCTGATTTTCAGAGGCTGGGTACTTGGCATTTTCTGAAAATCATTCCTTTTTACTAAAACCGAGGCACCCATAACCGCCAGGCACTTGAAAATCTGAGCCAAAGATCTTACGTAATACAAAACTCAGGCAGCGTAGAGCCTCCAACGACCAATGCCTTGAGCTGGTGTGGTTTAAAATTAATACTCCCAAGAATCATGTTAGGAACCAAAACACTGATGCTGTCTTCACTTAAAGCACTGAGTATTTAGGTTTTTTTAGTGAGAGAGAAAACTTCTTGCAAAGAGATCATTTCATTCATCATTGCCCAAACTGTGTGTGAAAGGATGTCCCTGGAGGTAAACATCCAATGTATCCACTATGCCACCTAGTCCTCACAACTGCTATTACACTCACCACTCCAAGAATGCTCTGCCATTGTGTTTTGTGTATTGGTATATAGCTGGTTTTAAAGTTGCTCCGTGCACAGAACTGCAGTGGTTTCTTAAATTATTGTTATGATTACAAATCAGAATGCTGTTTAAAGGGACACTGTCGAGAGAAAAATAACGTATTTGGAAAGAAAAAAAAAGAATGTTTTACACAAGATACAAAAAATACCTTACAGTCAATTGGAAAATAACTTGGAAATCAAAATCCCCTTTTGTTGCCTGTTTATTTTTTGCACTTCTCTCTGACTTCACTTGTTATTGGTCAGTTTTCTGTCTCTGGTTCTTGTGCCCTAGCATCATGCTTTTGAACCCTGTGAAGAGATGCTCAGATTCCAACATAGCTGTTGTCACTGGCTTTTCTTTAATTGCATGAGAACATGTCTTTTCATGTTTATAAAACTGTATTCTCCTTCACAAAGCCTACATTTTGGGCTGAAACTAATTTGACAGTGTTCCCTGAGGAAAAAAAAAAACAAAACATCCATATTTGTGAGTCACCTCTGAACTTGCTGGATATTCCAAGTGGCACCAAAATACACTGATGAGGCCAGACTAAAGCATACGCTCCATCTCTTTTATCACATCCTTGAAAGCCAGGGCTTTTACACATTACAGAGAGGATTATAATGAAGTGTAACATAGCTGAAAAGTAAAGAACAGTAACCATTTTCCAAAGAGATCTTTTGTAGCAAAGAGCCATGTATAAAATGTGCAGTGTATAGAATTAAAGTATATTAGAAGAGGCTAACAGAAACATGGATGCTTTCTGTTCACTCCCCAAATAAGAAACAGGTTTATATAAATTTCAAATATTCTCCTGCTACCCCCTTGCAATGTACAGGAATGGAGAGATATGATCTTTGCTAGTCACAGGTTCTCTTATGCTGCTAACTGGCTGGTTTCTTTTTTTCCATTCTTTTAAAGTGAAATGGTTTCTTTCTGGCTGGTGAAAGATGCCCGATTGACAGCCTTGGAGAGGAGTTCAGACTCCATTCACTGGCAACTCTGTCAAGACTACAGACAAGGGGACTGTTTAATACCCACTCTTGCACTGTAGCATACAGGACAGAGGCTGCTCTTATCATTTTGAAGAGTCCTCAGTCGAGAGGCTACAGACAGGATCAGCTTATGGCTAAAGGTTTAAGGCCTACTGGCTTAAGACTTCAGACTGCCTCTTGCCATGGTCTTGTGGTTAGAGGACACAGCTGAGAATAAGGAGAGTGTGCTAGGTCTTGGAGGGGGGGCACAGCATAGAACTTGCAGCCCAGTAGGAAGGAATGTAGGGTATCTTTAAGACAGCTTTGCTCTCGCCCCTGATCCCCCAGTGTAACTTAGCTCTAGGGAACTGTCTAAATTAGGGCAGCCTCCCCAGCCTCTCCACAGTACTGTTGGGAACCTCCACCCTCATACACACCACCCACTCCCAGTCCAGCTCCGGCCCCCTGTGGCCAGGCTTGCGGAAGCGTCCTCTGAAGGCAGGCCTTACACCTGTCTTCCACAATGCTCGCATCAAGGGAGTCCTCCCATGAGTGGAACTGGGGCTTTATTCATCACACTGGCCATTTTTATACATTGTGCAGGGGCTGGAGTGGGGTGAAATCTCACTCCTGTATTGTATGGCTGTTTCTGCCCATGTCTTGCTGTCTACAAGCCATTTAACTTCTCTATGCCTCGATTTCCCTGGCTTTAACCATGAGGGGGGAGGAATGATCAACCACCTTAATCACTCCTGCAAAGTACTTGAAGATCTTCAGGTGCCAAGTGCTATATAATCACACAGCATTGCTGTTATGACATGCAAAACACCCCTTAAAATCAATGGGAGAGTATCATGAAAATCAACGGCAGAATATTTGCAGTGTTGGTGTAGACTCGTTGGTCCTAGGACATTACAGAGACAAGGTGGATGAGCTGACCTGAAGGAGAGCTCTGTGTAGCTAAAAAAGCTTGTCCCTTTCACCAGCAGAAGTTGGTCCAATAAAAGAAATTACCTCCCCCACCTTGTCCATCTAAAAGCAGGATATGACTAATATTCCATAAAAACTATCAGTGTCCAATGTAGAATTTATATTTAAATATGTCGTCTTAACCCTATCTATCTATCTATCTATCTATCTATCAGCTACCAAAGGGACAGCCACTTGGAAATAACTAAGTGTGATCTAAACAGATAGTTTACAAGAAAACCTATGAAAACCCTCCTTGTAGAAAAACAATCATCAACATTGTAAACTTTGGCATCATTGTTCAGAAAAAAAAAAGGGAATCTCACATTTAATACAAAATCCATGTATATGGTGAAAACATGAGCAATGCATTAAAACAATGAACCCCAGAGATGACTAAGGCAGGCTTAAGGCTAGGCAATTGTTGGCAGAAAAAGAGTTAACCTTTTTAAGCAGCAGACCCAATGTCTTATCATAGATAAGGGTGCATTCTAGTGGCAAAATCCATGCAATGCAGGCAGTCACATTCTTCGTGAGCTGAGAAGCAACCTAAGAAATATGGAACTAGGAGGGTCAAGGGGGGGCTCTGATATTTAATTTAAATCTCATGAAGAAATGGTCGATCCCTTTCTATTTCTTCCTTTGCCTGAAGGCAGCATCACTTAGAGAACACACAACCAAGCCCCCCAAACCTGCTTTTTGTTGCCATTGTTGCTCAAGGTGTACTGTGTCTGCTAACAGCAGTTCTGGAGTGTCAGGGGATCGGGTGACGTATTTATTAGTGGAGATTTAGTGCTACAAAAGTTAATCTTTACAAATAATTAATAAGCATGAAGGACTTTGTTGTATGCTAGTGTGAAGGGATGTGGCCTGACCATTTGTGTTTAGGAATGCTGTGTCCCTACCAGAAGTCTGGCTCTTTTCAATGAGGGGGTGGGCCGGGGAATTTATGGGGTAGAACAGGATTGAGATAAAATATACAAATTGTGCTTCGCGTGGCAAAATTCCCCTTGCTTTCTGGCATCCTGCAAGGCACAGCTCACTTTTCCAGAGAGGAATCTAACACAGTTCTTGCAGTCGGCCTATCCCTGCCTTATGTCATGCTCATCCTTCAGTTTTATTAACTCTGTGTGTTTTCCGTGCAAGGAACTTGTGTCAGCGGCACAGGTGTGCATGCAAAGGAGAACGTATTTTTATCAGGCGTACAGCTGTGTACTGCACCAATGCAGAGTTAGGAATGTTCTCTGCTCATTCTGTAGCTACAGTCCTGAATAAGTGACTGCGTTAACACGTGGTACATACATGTCATACTTACAACTGATGGGTTCCTATGCACATTATCTCCCTCATTTAGGGCCTAATCCGGGGGGGGGGGGGTGGATGTTCATGACGTCTGAGTGCTAAGTACTATGCCTGATAGCCAATGTTTGCAGGATTGGGCCCTGCGTGATTTAAAAAGTCATTATAACTTCAGTGGGAAATCAAAACGACAGAGCACTCTGCGATATCTCACAGACAGACATGCCAAACCCGCGAAAAAAACACAGAAATTGGGCTTGGTTTGGGCTTAATTGGCTTGTGAGTTGCTTGTTGTCTAGTTTTTGTAGCTTGTTTGGCTTGTAGCTTGTTGCTTCTTTTTTGTGATCGGCTCCCAGCAAGGGGGGAGGCAAGTGGGGATAAGGGGGGGGGAGAGAGCCAGGGGTGCACAGCGGACCCACCACAGTCCCAGGCTGCATGCTGGGGGGATCTAGTCACATAGAGCGTTGGGGTTCTTGTTCTGAAATGGGATTAGCTAGATTTTTGGCTCATTGTGAAAGTCGGGGTGCTTATTTACCACGTGAAAGTTGGCAACTGTGCTCACAGAGCTTCCCAGACAAATCCTCCCTGTGTGTCTCTCTCAAGCCTAGCCAGAGCTGCCCTCCTAACTGTCCAGTGTTATTGGGAAAATCGGAGCAATTTGTTTTCAAGACCCTCCCTTCTTCCCCACCCCCAATCATATATTATCCTTGATCGTTGCCCGGGGTTTGAAACCTAGAAGTCAAAAGCTGCAGCTCCCACCCCCACTCACTCTGAGTGTGCACTGACATTGCTGTAATTCTGGCACCCCTCCAAGCTGAGGTGTCATTGGGATCTCAAATTGCAGCTAAGGGCTGGCAGGCAGCCAGGGCAGTCTATTTAAAAGACAAGCCTGCTCGGCAGTATTCAGTCTCTTTAGAAACTTCTCCGGGGGGAAAGTGTGGAGAGATCTACAAAGTGGAATTTTTTTCCTCCTTTCCCCCCCCCCTTCAATTTTCTTTTTCTTTTTTTAACTCTTCTCCTGCAGCCTTTGCACACACACACACACCCAAATCCAAACTTTTGCAGAAAACTTTTCTTGACAGCGCTGGAAGAGGAGGGGGGAGGCAAAGCGACCCAATCAAAACACAATGTGCTTTCAACCAGCCTCTCCAGCCGCCTAGCACTCCCTGCTCTGCTGGGTTTCCTGATTCTTTGCAGCCCTCCTGCCAGGAGCCCCTTCCGCAAATAACTTTGCTCCCCACTTGCCCTCCTCGCCAAGCGTTGGAAACCTGCTGGGGGCAGGGCGGGGGTGGGATATTTGCTGCCGGTTTAGGGAGCCTTCACAACCCAGCTCTTTGCTGGCTTGTGATTTATTTAACACCCCCACCACCACCACCAACCTGTTGCAGCCAGGCTGTGCACGCTGGTTATTTTCAGGCCAAAATCATCATCATCATCATCATCATTCCCGGGACTTTTTTTTTTGGAATTTAGAGGGGGAATTTTTTTTTCCCCTCCCACCCCTCCCCCTCTTTAAAAGCCAACTTTGCATCCTCGCTCCTGCCTGGAAGATGCTCCTGACCCTCTGCCTGCTGCTGGGCACGTGCCTCGGCTGCTCCCAGGGCCTGGGCTCCTTCGTGCACTGCGAGCCGTGCGACGAGAAAGCCCTGTCCATGTGCCCGCCCAGCCCGGCGGGCTGCGAGTTGGTGAAGGAGCCGGGCTGCGGGTGCTGCCTGACCTGCGCCCTGGCCGAGGGGCAGCCCTGCGGGGTGTACACCGAGCGCTGCGCCCAGGGGCTGCGCTGCCTGCCCCGCCAGGGCGAGGAGAAGCCGCTGCACGCCCTGCTCCACGGCCGGGGCCTCTGCCGCAACGAGAAGAGCTACCGGGAGCAAGCCAAGCTGGGTGAGTGGCTGCGACGGACCCCCCAGTCCTGCTGCAGCCCCTGCGGGGGGGGGGCATTGCACCGTAGGGCATTGCACCTTCCTCCCCCCCCCCCGGCTCACCCCCGCCCCCCATGGCATTGCACCTTTCCCCCTTTGCTTGCCCCCCGGCTCACCCCCGCCCCATGGCATTGCACCTTTCCCCCTTTGCTTGCCCCCCGGCTCACCCCCGCCCCATGGCATTGCACCTTCCTCCCCCCCGGCTCACCCCCCCCCCCCCCTGCCCCCCCCCCCCCACCCCTCCCATGGCATTGCACCTTTCCCCCTTTGCTTGCCCCCCGGCCCCACCCCCCTGGCATTGCACCTTTCCCCTTTGCCCCCCCGGCTCACCCCCGCCCCATGGCATTGCACCTTCCTCCCCCCCCGGCTCACCCCCGCCCCATGGCATTGCACCTTTCCCCCTTTGCTTCCCCCCGGCTCACCCCCTCCCCATGGCATTGCACCTTCCCCCCCTCCCCCCCGGCATTGCTTCCCCCCCCGGCTCACCCCCGCCCCCCATGGCATTGCACCTTTCCCCCTTTGCTTCCCCCCCCCCCCTGGCTCACCCCTCCCCCCGCCCCATGGCATTGCACCTTCCTCCCCCCGGCTCACCCCCCCGGCCCCCCCCCCCCCCCTCACCCCCCCCCCATGGCATTGCACCTTTCCCCCTTTGCTTGCCCCCCGGCTCACCCCCCCCATTGCACCTTCCTCCCCCCCGCTCCCCCCCCCCATGGCATTGCACCTTCCCCCCCCCCCCGGCTCACCCCCCCCCGCCCCCCCCCCCCCCGGCTCACCCCCGCCCCCATGGCATTGCACCTTTTCCCCCTTTGCTTGCCCCCCGGCTCACCCCCGCCCCCATGGCATTGCACCTTTCCCCCTTTGCTTGCCCCCCGGCTCACCCCCGCCCCATGGCATTGCACCTTTCCCCCTTTGCTTGCCCCCCGGCTCACCCCCGCCCCATGGCATTGCACCTTTCCCCCTTTGCTTCCCCCCGGCTCACCCCTCCCATGGCATTGCACCTTCCCCCCCCCGGCTCACCCCCGCCCCCCATGGCATTGCACCTTTTCCCCCTTTGCTTCCCCCCGGCTCACCCCCGCCCCATGGCATTGCACCTTCCCCCCCGGCTCACCCCCGCCCCCCATGGCATTGTACCTTTCCCCCTTTGCTTCCCCCCGGCTCACCCCCCCATGGCATTGCACCTCCCCCCCGGCTCACCCCCGCCCCATGGCATTGCACCTTTCCCCCTTTGCTTCCCCCCCGGCTCACCCCCCCATGGCATTGCACCTTCCCCCCCGGCTCACCCCTGCCCCATGGCATTGCACATTTCCCCCTTTGCTTGCCCCCCGGCTCACCCCCACCCCCCATGGCATTGCACCTTTCCCTCGTTGCTTCCTCCCCACCCCCGGCTCCAGCCGGGCTCACCTCCCCACCCCTTAGGGCATTGCACCTTTCCCACTGCTCCTGCCGCACTCACACTCCCTCCTCCTGCAGTCCTTGCTGTATCCCCCCACCCCCTTATGGCATTGCATCTTCCCCCCCCCCCTTGACTCCCCCCTGCTCCAGCCGCACTCACACCCCCTCCTGTGCTCCCCTGCTGCAGCCTCTGCCGTGTCTCTCCCCCCATGGCATTACACCTTTCCCCCTGGCCTCCCCCCAGCTCCAGCCGGGCTCACACCCCTCCTGCTGCAGCCTCCGCCGTTTCGTCCCCCCCCCCCATGGCATTGCACCTTTCCCCCTTTGCTTCCCCCCTCTGCTCCAGCCAGGCTCACTCCCCCCCTTAGGGCATTGCATCTTTCCCCCTGCCCCAGCCGGGCTCACACCCCCTCCTGTGCTCCCCTGCTGTGTCCCGTCCCCCTTTAGGGCATTGCATCTTTCCCACTGCTCCCGCCGCACTCACACCCCTTCCTCCTGCAGCCCTTGCTGTATCCCCCCACCCCCTTATGACATTGCACCTTCCCCCCCCCTTGACTCCCCTCTGCTCCAGCTGCGCTCACACCCCCTCCTGTGCTCCCCTTCTGCAGCCTCTGCTGTGTCCCGCCCCCCATAGCATGACACCTTTCCCCCGGCCTCCCCCCCAGCTCCAGCCGGGCTCACACCCCTCCTGCTGCAGCCTCTGCTGTGTCCCCCACTCCCCCATGGCATTGCACCTTTCCCCCTACTCTCCCACCCCCCGCTCCAGCCGCGCTCACACACACCCCTCTCCGTGCTCCCCTGCTGTAGGGCGTCGCCGCCCCAGCCCCCTGCAACATCTCCCCTTCCTCCCCCCCACGAGGGATCCTCCCTTATCCCCTCTCTGTTCCTCTCCTCCTGCTCATCTTGCTGCACCCTCTTCCCCCTCCTATTGTACCCCCTACCCAGCTTGGCTTCTCCCCCAGGGAATCCTGCCGTCGGCCCCTCTCCCCTGACCTTCCACCTCAACCCATCCCCTGAAAGCTGCTGGTTCCCTGGCCCCTCCGTCCATCCTCCCCGAGCCCTCCGCTCCTGCGCCCTTCTCCCCTTTTCGTATCTACCTACCTCCCCAACCCCTCTCCCTTGGCTTGGCAGCTAACTTGTGCTTTGGAAGTGAAGCAATACAAGCCAGAGCCTTCCATGCCAAATCCCCACCCATCCAACCCTTCAGTTCAGCCCCCAACGCCCCCGCAACACATACCCCTCCGCCCCCGCCACTTCAAGACCAGCTTTTCCAGCTTGGCTACTGGAGGTCTTTGCTGGGCAAGGAGCGGGAGCAGGTGCATCGGGGAAAGGAAAACCCAGATGCAAAATGAATGCAAAAAAAAAAAAATTAAAAGAAAGCCAAGGTGGTTTCGCCTTTGTACACTGCAGTTTGCAAAGACAAAAAGGGAGCTACATTTCCTTTCATTATCTCCAACTTTGGGATCCTCTTTAGAGTGACCACCTGGCCCTTCGTTCATTGATTTCTCCCTCAGGGTGACAACCCATCCCTTGTTTTAAGATGTATTGAAATGTATCAAAACTGATCATGAGAACCGTTTTAAAGGTGACACTGGAGCTTATGATAATTACACTGTATACCTGAGGGCAGTCGCAATGTACACCTGATAGAAAAAATACATGATATGCTAAGGGGAACACTATTTCCCTAAAATGTCCCTTTACATAAAGCATTGTCCCTTACTGTTCATAGGGTTTTCCCTTATTTCCATTATCCCTGTCTAAGATCCAGTAGGATCCTGTTGTTCTATTTGTCCCGTTTGTTCACCTTCAACCACCAAAGGGAAGGGGAGGGTGGGAGGAGACCCTTATAAAAACCCCGAACTGCGTATGCAAAAGAAAAAAAAATCCTTTTTTTTTTTTTTTGCCAAGCCGCTCTTACATCCGTGCATCGGCGATTTGCTCCTTATCCCTTCTAACGCCCAATAAATCTTGCCACTTTTATTATTTTTCCCCCCTTCTGCTGCTGCAAGCGTGTGCTGCTTTTTATTTGTCTTCCTTCATAGCAAAGCCAAATATATGTATTGGCAAAAAAAAAAAAACAGTAAGGCTCTCTTTGGAGCAGTTTAAAGGCACAGGCCACTTTCTGGATCATGCAGAAATGTGGATTGGGTCTGTTAAAGTGGAAGATGGTAAAAGAAGAGCTGATTTCCTGTCTTGGAACCCAATAAACTGAGTAATAATCCGGTAACACTGAAACCACGTGAAATGTCCCCGTGCGCCACGCATGTCACCCATAGCATTATTTACTCTGTGTGTGTGTACGCCCAGCGCAAGAGGCAGGTGGTGTGGTCAGGGCAACAAGTAATGTGGCTAAAATGCAACAGACAACGCGCTGAGCTCGGCTCCCTACCTGCAGTTCAGTGTAACAACAGTGCCCCTTGCAGACAGATGGCACCAGCCACACTTCGACTTTCCACTTATTTCTCAGCAAGGCTGATTATTCTCTTTCTCTCTCCACCCTTCCCAAGGAATCCAGTCCTATAGCAGGTGCATAGATATGAAGAAGCACTTGGCCAGGCTTCCTTTAATCGGCTTGGTTTTTCGTCCTGTAAGGCACTTTCTGACTCAGTCAGGAATCCAGTGGATGAATGGGGTGAGAGAGGTTGGGTTGAGGAGTTGTTTTACTGGTCCCCTACTGGCCTTCCACTCAAATCTTGCAGGTGGGCCCATCGGGAGCTCTGTTGGTTTCTCAGATTAAGTGAACAATTCTGAACGTCTGAACTGAAATTTAGAATAAAACAACCTTCTTGAGCCAAGAAATGTCTGGATTGTATTGGAAGGGAGCAGCAGAGTTAGCTTTAGACTTGCGAGGTTGTAAAAATCAGGAATTTCTGAGGACAAGGAGAAACAAAACAAAACAAAAAACTCCTCGTGGCTTTTGAGTGGTAGAGGGTGGGAACAGCGAAGTATATTTTCATAGGCATGTTACTAAGCAACTGGGGAGGAAAGAAAATGAAGTTTGACTTGAACTTGCTGGCCTCTGCCAGCTTGGCCAGAAATCCAGGGACAATATGTCAGGGAAGCTGGCCTGGGTTACAGTCTCTGGATGTCCAAACTTGGCCCTGAGCTGAGAACTGCTGCGAAAGAATCAACCGTGTATAACTAAGTGACAGTCGAGAGGGATGGATTCAGCTGCATATTTATTTATTCATGCTCTTGCAGCAGGTCTGTTTAAATCCACTTCTCAGAAATATTTTTTTCCTCCTCGTTGTTATGGTGGATAGACAGCTAATGCGGTGCAGATTGTAGCATAGGACTGGAAGGCAAGGGACCTGGAGTTCTAATGCCAGGTCTGCTATAGACCCGCTGTTTTACTAGGGGGGTAGGTTCACTGGCTCTCTCTGTGCCTCAGTTTCTCCAACTGTAAATTGGGAATACTGATATTGAGAAATTAATCTACCTATGTACAGGCTACATTCATTAATGTTTATAGAGAACTCTTAAGTGTCTTGAATGAAAGCCGCCACAGAATTGCAAAGGAATATTATGGTGTTCGTTATTAATATTACTAGTGCTTAGATACCCGTG